TTTTTTTTTTTTTTTTTTTTTTTTTTACCTATGGGACTCCTGCTTCATTCAGTGCATGGAAAGTTATTTCTTTTAGCTTTCCACATTCATCATGGTTCCATACTGACATACATTCCAAGAAACTTCTAAAAGAACATCACTTTCTAGGACAAATTATTGTCATTTTATAACTATTATCCCCAAAAGGCAGAATTCATCCAGCTTCCCTTACCAGAGATCTACAAGAAAAGAGACTCTTTAATTTGTATAAAAATATTAAAACAGCCAACCGAAAGAAATAGGCAGGGGACTTAAATGGGTGTTTCACAATAAACCAGTTACTGTTGTTTCATTTCCCATTCTTAAAAAGTTTTGTTGCAAAATTGCTCCATGTCTTATTTTTTCATTTATTTTTAATTCTGTTTTATAATGCTGAACACACCATCACACTTGCTCTCCATTGGGGTATTAACTTTGCCCTTCCTCACTAAGATACACTACATTAGTCACTCTGAAATAGTTCAGTCTTGTAAGTTCTGAACAACCATCCGAGATGCTATGTGAACCATACGCCAGTTCAGATTTTCCTTTGATCATTGGCAGTTCTCACTGGATTCCTGTGATGTGTTATTTCACATCTTCAGGTTGCTTACCATTCAAAAGACATTCCAGTATCATTATACTCCTAATCTGTTCTATTCTCATTCCCCACTTATTTGAGTTCTCCCTATTCACCTGACCTGGTGACCAATGTGAATAGCTTTCAACTATTTCTTTCAATTAGCAAGTAATCATTCCGGTTACATCTCTTCTTTTAGCTGCAGCCTTAACCACTTCCCCATTTATTCCTGCTCTTTCATCTCACTCCAACTTTATTCAGTATCTCTAGCGGTTCTAGGATCCTGCATCCTATCTTCTGGCTCTTAATTCCCAAAAGCTCATCCTTGAAATGCTGTAGTAGCTTTAGCCATTTAATCAGTCATGTCTTCAGATACTCAGTGTCAAATCATAGCCTCTCAGTTTGTTTTTCTCCTAGTCATTTCATTTAATTGATACTGCCTGCTTCCATCAAATATACTTTGCTGAGCTGATCAAGTTTCCAGGGTTTGAGCAGTGTTCTCTAACACTCCAGTGCCTGTGTCTTACTGATTTCCTTCTGGCTTCTTTTCTTGTTTTACTTCTAAAACAAACAAAAAAATCTTAGCCCTGATCTCTCTCAACTAAGTTGCTGGGTTTCACTTAACACATCTTGATGTTATGCTCTGTTAGCTACCCAACAGTGTGACTACTGTTTATAAACAGTGGTGTGTGTACTATCAGGACAATTTTTTGTATTTGTGATTTTTTCCCCCTCTGGACCAATTTTTAGAGACAGACAGACAGACAGACAGACAGACAGACAGACAGACAGACAGACAGACAGACAGACATCTTGCAATGCAATGCTTTACTTGCATTAAAAACTGTCAAGCCAAATCCTGAATCAACATGGTTACAGATCAGAACTCAGAAAGTGAAGACATTGTTGCAAAATAAGTGTGAAATGTAGCTTCCAAAAGGGCATGTAACCAGGGTTCCCTTCTTCCCCCGAACAAAACCACAAAATCTCTAGAAAAAAACTGCTGAATACAGTTTATTAAAACCCCCCACAAAACAACAAAATTTCTGAAAGGTTCTGCAACAAGCAGTGGCCAGGAAATAACAAAGCTCTCATACTTCTGAAAGACAAAAGGGAGTAATACTCAAAGAGTTGAATGCCAATGCCAGTTGTCAAAAAGAATAAAAAGGGCTCCAGTTTTTGCTTGCAAGCAGCCTCTGCACCATGACAATTTAGTGCTAACAATTATACACACTTCAGCATTCTGTTTTGTTTCTCCCACTTTTACCTTTTGAGCTGTAAAGTTTTATAGACTTACTTCAGATCGGCTGCTATTAAATTAAAGCCATTGTAAAGGTGTCCTTCCAACGCAACTTTCCTCAAATAAGAGGAGCTGTCCAGATCTGAAGTCAAGAAGTTTGTTACGAGAGCACCTAAAAGGGGTGGGGTAAGAGGAGGGCAGAAGAGGGAGAGTTAGAGTGACTTGTATGAGGCATTCACTAGCCCAGCAGGCTCAGCCACAGAAGCACAAGATTTAGTATTCCAGTTACTAAAGGAAAAGGAACATGTGAGAATTAAGGTTTTGCACAGTGCTCAGATGAGCCAACAGATTTATAAAACATTGTCCTCTGAGGAATAAGAGCTTCCAATTCTAACTCAGCTGTACTAGATTCAAGTTTGCTGATCCTTCTATATTAGATGATTTCTAGGGCTGTGCGAAGCTTTAGTCCCCGATTTGATTTGGCAGAGATGTGGCCCAATTCAGCGCCCAAATCTCTGAACTGGAATCAAATCAGAGGACCCTTTAATCTCTCTAAATCAAATCAGAACCCTCTGAATCGATTCAGAGAGATTCGGCAATTCGGACATAGATAAAGCTTTGAATGTTTTTTTCTACTTACCCTAGGTAGCAGGCGGCTCGTGAGCGCTGCGATGCTAGGGTGGGTGGAGTGCCCCAGAGAAGTGCAGGGGGAGACCCCAGGGTGCACAGCAGCAGACCCAGAAGTGGATCAGAAGCACTTGTGGTCCACTTCCAAGTCCGCTGGGGAGCACGCAAGGGGGCTCTCCTGCACCCCCCTGGCTCACCCAACCCAGGGTGTTGAGGGAGCTAGCAGGGGTTATTGCAGGGCCCTTGGCACGGCTTTACGAGTGCTCATGGTGCTCAGGCCAGGTGCCAGATGATTGGAAGATAGCCATCATGGTCCCCACCTTTAAAAAAGGGAGGAGGGAGGACCCGGGCAACTATATGCCTGTCAGTCTTACCTCAATCCTAGGGAAACTCTTTGAGAAGATTATCAAGGAGCACATCTGTGATGGGCTGGCCTCAGAGATGATGCTCAAGGGCAACCAGCATGGTTTCATTAGGGGCAGGTCATGTCAGACCAACCTGATTGCCTTTTATGATCAGGTCACAAAAGCCTTGGATGCAGGTGTTGCCTTGGATGTAGTCTTTCTGGGCTTCAGCAAGGCCTTTGACACCGTCTCCCACCTCATCCACATTAAAAAAATTGGGTGACTGTGGCATTGGTGCCTACAGTCAGATGGATTGCAGATTGGCTGAAGGGTCGCACTTAGAGGGTGGTGGTGGATGGGTCATATTCGACCTGGGGAGAAATGGGCAGCGGAGTCCCCCAGGGCTTGGCCCTTGGGCTCGCACTGTTCAATTTCTTTATCAGCGATTTGGATGACGGGGTGAAAAGCAACCTGTTTAAATTCACTGATGATACCAAAATTTGGGGTGAGGTGAGCACACTAGTAGGGAGGGAAAGACTGTGCCCCACTTCAGGAGGGATGTGGACAACATTGAGAGGGTCCAGAGGAGGGCCACCCAAATGATCCGGGGACAACAAGGCAGACCCTACAGTGAGAGACTGCGGGACCTAAACCTGTTCAGCCTTCACAAGAGAAGGCTGACGGGGGACCTGGTGACAGTTTATAAAATCACTGGGGGGGGGGAACAGAACGGTTTGGGAAGAGACCTTGTTTCCCCTAGCGCCCCCTGGCATAACAAAGAATAACGGCCAAAAGTTGTTGGAGAGGTTTAGATTAGACATCCGTAAGAACTACTTCACAGTTAGGGCGGCTAGGATCTGGAACCAACTTCCAAGGGAAGTGGTGCTGGCTCCTACCCTGGGGGTCTTTAAGAGGAGGCGTGATGCCTACCTGGCTGGGATCATTTGAGCCCAGTTTTTCTCCTGCCCAGGCAGGGGGTCAGACTTGAAGATCTACAAGGTCCCTTCCAACCCTACCTCTATGATTCTATGCTACTGGTGCCTCCTAGGTCTGGGGGGGCGCCCGTGGTCCCCCCTGTAACCAAATTGCTGAGCCATGGAGGGTGTGGGGGGCCCCACCTGCGCACTCTCTGGTGGACCCAGAAGTGGACAGGAAGTACTTCCGGTCCACTTCTGGGTTTGCTGCTGAGCACACCGGGGGGGGGGGGGGGGCCCCCCCGCCCCCGGGGGGGGCCCCCCCCCCCCCCCC